TGGACACACCAGATATATTTTTTTTTTTTTGGGGGGGGCATCCCTTTCCTCGCCCGTTAAGGCTATACGGTGTTTTCCCGGACCAGGAGTTGTGGGTGGGTATTTAAAAGATGCCTTGGCACCGGGAAGCGAACTCGTGACTATTTTTATAACACATTTGTTATATATCGGGTTGCCGAGCAACACGGTGGTGCTGTGCACAACGCGTTAGCCCATTGGGCGACCCTGCCCACTATATTTTTTTTTTTTTAGTCATAAGCCCAGCGAGCTAAGGCATTAGCAACAGGTAATAAAAGCTAAACAACGTCAATTACGATACGTACTTAAAAGTACTCTTAACGTAAACTAAGCATTGAATGTATTAAATTTTCAATGAGAAGGAGATTGCCGATAATAATTATAATAATATATATATATATATATATATATATGTATTTTAATTTTTGTTTGGCTCTACAGACCTTGTAGATCTTTGGCCGCCTAAACAAGCCTTCTCCACCTCTGCCTATCTTGGGCTACTGCTTTCCAGTTTGCTGTATGAAGCTCAGCCGTATCCTTGTTTATCCTATCTATCCATTTGGTTTTTGGCCTCTCACGTGATCTCTTGCCTACTACTCTGGCATTCATTGTTGTGTTAAGGCGTCCTGATGGACGCTATGAGCTACATGCCCATCTTAACTTCCTTGCCTTCATGTCATGAGATATTGACTGACCCGTTTCCTTCAACAGTTCCTAATTGTTCCTTCTCCTCCATGTGTCAAGGCTCTGGTCCCATATAGGTCCTGTTATCCTACGTAGAACTTTTCTTTTGAATATATCAATGCTGGCTTCTAGTATACCGGTTAGAGCCCAGGTTTCACAACCGTACAGCAGAACTGGCTTAATCATGGCGTTATACACCCTAATTTTCAGATTTCTGGAGAATTTTCTGGATTTCAGTACCCTTGAAAGAAAGAAGAAAGATCTGTGACCAGCTTAGTCATTTTTTTTTCTTCCCTTTCTCGCCATTTTAGGCTATACGGGATTTCCACGGGCCTGAGGGTGAGAGCGGGGAATTTAAAATCTCCTCCGAGACCGGGACGCGAACTCGTACTTATTTTTGTCTCTCAAAACTTCATATATCTGGTTGCCGGGCAACTCGCGGTGCTGTGCACACGCTTTAGCCCATTCGGCCACCCTGCTCCCTTCCCAGCTCAGTCATGATCTTCCAGAGACAGTTTCTGTCCATGGAGTCATAGGCTGCTTTGAAGACGACAAATAATGCGTGTACGTCCTGATCTACTTCCCATCGTTTTTCAAGTACTTGTTCTAGGATGAATATCTGATCTAGCGTACTCTCCCCTCTCCTAAATCCTGTTTGATGGTCGCCTGTTTTCATAATACGGATAAATCCGATTTAGCAGAATATTCATCATTATTTTATTGGCGACCGGAAGAAGTGCTATGCCTCTGTAATTGCCATATTCGTACATGGAGCCCTTCTTAAGGATTGGACAGATCAATCCTGTGTTCCATGCTTCTGGTATCCGTTCCTTCTCCCATATCTTCTGGATTAGATCTAACAGCTTGGCTCTGAGTTCTTCTCCCCCATACTTGAACAATTCTGATGGTAGGTTGTCTATCCCTGGGACTTTTCTTCTTTTAAGTCTGCCGATTGCTATTTCCACATCCAGAATATCTGGTTTTCCAACTTCAAGCGGGTCGATATCCTCAGTGTAGTCCATGTCTTCTTCGTTTGTGAGGTGCTTATATATATATATATATATATATATATATATATTATATATATATATATATATATATATATATATATAATAAGAAGAAGAATTCGATGTTATTGTGTCCATATGTCCAAATGGGCCTGATAATGGTAGTGTAAATGAGTTTTTGTAGAATAATGTTTAAGCGTTTGTCAAGTAAGTGCTGTAATAATCGGTATCTATTGGCAGTTTCTTGTCTTTTAAGTCTAGTATGAGGATCCCAAGTAAGGCGTTTGTTGGTGAAAGATAACACACATGTGCCATCAGCATAGGTAATGAGGACGGTTAAAGGATGGGTTGAGATATCAGCTGTATATACTGTGTAAAGGATGGGACCTAAAATGCTCCCCTGAGGAACACTAGCGGACTGGGAAAAGAGAGATGAATAAGCAAAGTTACAATTTACTTTGAAGGTTCTATCTGTGAGGTAAGGGCGTATTAGTAGGAAATACGTTGGGAGCAGGAATTGACGGAGTTTGTACAGCAAACCTGCTTGCCAGACTCGATCAGCCAGAAAAGGCTGATCCACATTGATAAAAACTGCTTTGCAGTATATTCCGTGCTCCAGTATAGAGGAAATGACATCCACCACACGATGGCACTGCTAAATAGTGGAATGAGATATTCGAAATCCAAACTGATGGTCAGGAATCAAGTGATTTGAGTCTAGGATAGGGTAAAGGCGTTTTAATATAAGTTTTTTTAGTATTTTACTCATTATGGGAAGCAGGGAGATAGGACGTTAAGAGGATGATTATCAGGTGGCTTTTTGAATCATTTTTACTATGGAGAATTTCCAAGAATCAGGAAAATAGCTGGTTCTAAGTACAGCGTTTTATATATATATAGGTGAGAAGTAGGACATCTTTTCGAGGAAGTTGCTTGAAGATTCGGGAGTGGATTAGATTGTGGCCAGGTCCTTTTTTGGACGGTAATTTCTGAGTTATGTTAATTATTTCAGAAGGATGGAATAATTTAAGAGGAAGCGACATTTGGAGAGGAATAGTAAGTTCTACTTCAACATATTCCAGAAGGGTATGATTGAGAATATCAGGGTGAGGGTGAAAAGTTTTAAAAAGGTGTTCACCAAATATTTGAGTCTTTTCTTAATCAGATCTTGACCAAGTCTGGGATTCAGTGTGGAGAGGATGGTTAAAAGTTTTGAAATTAAGTATCTCTGACGAAATCTAATCTACATTTTTGCTACAATACTAGATAAAAACAAAATAACGATATTCAAGGAGGAACAAAGGACCATTCTTCGGCAATCAAGAAGTACAAAACATTTATGTTAGAAGCACAACGGAGAAGTCCCGAAAATTTATAAAAATAAATGAATACATAATAATTATTTTGGGGGTTCTAGAAGAGAGAGAGAGAGAGAGAGAATCACTTTATTATCATAAAAGGATGCTGCCCAATTACATTGGGTTGCTTTAAACATAACATACTTATTAATCGCTACAGACAATTTTTTAAAACTAATATTTAAACTAATAAAACAATGATTAAGGAGGCCCGTTGTCAATCACTGAGCTGTCCTATATATTATGGTGCACAATAGGCCTAATCATGGCCAAAAGAAAACGTTATGAATCTCTAATTTAAAAAATTGTCAGGATTCAACATTAGCGGATCCAGGATTTAATTTTGGAGGGGCTTCAGCCCGAAAGCTTTTTTTTTTCATAAAAATAACGATAATTACTTTGGAGAATAAGAAAGAAACTAACTACCTATATGAAATGGTGTTTAAGTGATTCCGAAAGCCCTTTTAAATGTAATTATATGAACAATTATAATTTAAGAGATAATTTTTTAATATTTTTTTCGATAAAACATTGTTATATTTTACCATTTGGGGGGGGCTTCAGCCCAAAAGCCCTTCCCCCCTCCCCGTAGATTCAAGAGCATTTGAACTAGATATCAAAGAAAATTTTCAAATAATCATAAAATCTATTTTATAATTACTACATTTTTTTCATTTAAAAAACAATTTTAATGGATAAAAAACAATGTAAATAAAAAAATCTAGTGTTTTCACTCAGAAAACTTTCTTACCGAATTTAGACAAATTAATACAACTTTAAATATGTCTATTAAATATATATATATATATATATATATATATATATATATATATATATATATATATATATATATATATATATATATATAGAGAGAGAGAGAGAGAGAGAGAGAGAGAGAGAGAGAGAGAGAGAGAGAGTTACAGTAATTTTCATGAAAACCAGTCAGAGAAATTATAATAGTACAATTTTTTTTATGAACTGAAACAATGTGAAAGATCACATAAATCAGCTTAAAAAATTCAATACACTATAACTTAGCCAAAACTGGTCCGATTTTATTTAGTTTATTATTTTCAATAATCAATCTTTGTAATTGACTGAGAAAAAAAAGTTAACCTCCCATCAAAATTGAGACTTCACATTTTAAGATACACCTCAAAAAAGTATTTTCACACTCCAATTTTCTTCATCTCAATCTCAATAGGATTAAGATATTTTCCATAAATAACATTTATATAACAAAGTCAATTTTGAGTATTAAATTTTAGAAGCAATGCATGTTCAGAATTTAAAAGCTATGTTTAAAATTAAAATAAAGAGTAAATTTTAAGAGTTAAAAAAGTATTGGCACAGTGTTAAATGTTTACTGTTAGCTCCAGTCAAAACAAGTTACTCCTTTTTCTTTTGAGAGATTAGAAACGAGGATTGATGATAATACAATGAAAACAATAAAAATCAGTCTTTGCTGTATATTTGCCGTAAAAACATGGGTAAACCAGTCAATTTTGTGTCAGTTTAAAAAAAAAAATCATGAAATTACATTCTAATGGACTTAGCTAATGATAAATACCGAATAAATTAGAAAATGTTTTTAGTAGTGTTCAGAATATTGCACAAAAGTTTAGAAAGTTTTAAATAAACCCTATTCAGAACGGACACCAAAATGGGAGGGCACAAAGGTATATCCATTAAATTGTTGAACAAAATCGCACTTTATCTTCCACCAAAACAGCAGGAGCCATTGAAACAACTGCCATTTTGGGGCAAAATCTCTTCACATGCATCCTCCCTTTTTCATAACTACAAGAAATGTTTTTGTGCTAATTTTAAAGAAAATCTAACTAAGTTATATTTCCAACAGTTGATGTATTATAATTAAACTTTCACTGTATTACTAACCAATAACATTTATATATGATCAAATTTATTTTACCTGATATTGTATAAAATTGAGGACTGTTCCTGTTCACCCTCGTGTACTGCACTAGGCCTATAGAAGAATAAATTAATAATAACAGAGTTAATGTTTGGTATTGATTATAATATTTAAATTATGTTGGGTCATTTCCTCGATCACTATTCGATGACATAGTGCTTATATTCTAAATAATTATGAGGCGCGAATTTCAAAAAGATTCTATTACAGATTGGTTTATAAAAAAAAATTTTAGCCAATTTTAAAAATGATGATTATTAAATTTTTGACTCCATGTGAAGCAAGCAATTATTAATTTTAAAAATATATATTTCTCAATTTTTTTATTGTTAATATATTTTTTTTTAAGTTTTAATTATTAAAAAAATAAAGTGTTATACAATCAATAAAGTTTTTATACACTTACACCTACGAGAAAATGATATGTTTTATTATTTTCAAATTGACTTAAATTATATTTTCATTCTAACTGATGGTATAACATTCTCTTATCTGATTTTTTTTTTTTGTGTAGTTATGATTTTATTTTGATGGGTGTGCATATATATATATATATATATATATATATGCACACCCATCAAAATAAAATCATATATATATATATATATATATATATATATATATATATATATATATATATGAGGCCAGGGTAGCTGAACCGGCTAAGCCGCTTGCAATAAGTAATCAAAGTTAAACAATGTCGAGCATGGTTAGTACTTGGATGGGTGACTGTCCATCAGGGAAAGCTATGCTGCCCGAGTCTCTCTCCTCCTCCCAGGTATGTGAGGCCGGTCAGCCTACTGGAGGCAACTCAGGATGTGGTTTACCAAAAAAGTTCAAGTAAACAATGGGCCAATTTTCAGCAGAAAAGTAAGAAATCCAAGTTTTGTGATTTTTTGAGTGTCATGTTTTTTATTGAATCAAAAGCGATAGCTAAAGAAATATTTAATTTAACCAATTGATAATTGTTTCATTGCAAACCAGATGAAATTTACTTTAAATTAACATAGAGTTTATCATTGGTAAAACCATTTACAGAGGACTTTTGAGCGGCTAAACTAAGCTAAGTTCTGTCTTTAGAAAAATCATAAATTATTCACCATTTATATATATATATATATATATATATATATATATATATATATATATATTATATATATATATATATATATATATATATATATATATAAATTAAAAATACAGCAATTGATCATTACTAATTTACTAATTACTTGATTACTAATCTGTCGGTAACATATTTAAATATAATGATGTGACTAAAAAAAAAATGTTGAAATAAAAATAAATTGTGGAGGGATTAAGAATTAGAATTTCATTTTTTTTTTAAATATCTCAACTAAAGAATGAAAATAACTAAACATGTACAGAAAATAAGGTTATATGTATATATTATAATTGTCGAAAACATGAACAAAAAAAAAATTTAAATATAAAAATAATACAAAGCATAAAAAAAAAAAAAATAATTGCATTGACACATAACTAAATAAGTATACTAATAAAAGATAACAAATATAGAACAATAAGTAGGTAAACGCATACAACTTTTGTATGTTAATGAACAAAGCTCTAGATCACTAGATTAATTTATAAATTAGTTTCTGTACAACTTTTTATTATTTAAAATATTGTATAATTAGAAAATGATCTTTCTACATCAATAAATGTGATAGGGGCAAATGTATTTGCACTTAAAATTACCATGTCACTGAAAACAATTGAATCTTCACCATTAAAAATTGCATTAACACCTTCCAGAATTATGAGACCTGAGTTTTTTTTATAAAAACTTCTTCTATGTTTTTTTATTAAAAGTTTCTCACACTTGTACTGGTAATAGACACTTTACTAATAACATACAGTTTTCAATTCACTAACAAATAATAAGCTTTATACTACGAAGATAGGTATAAAGTCTACATATTCGGTACATTTTGTTGTTTTGTCCATTAAAAATAATTTAATAATAATTGAAACCAATCTGTGTTTTTAATTTATAATTATCAATAAAATCAATTTTTATTTCATAAAGTTATTGGTCATTTAAGGTAAATGTACTAGTAATAGACACTTTACTAATAATATACAGTTTTCAATTCACTAACAAATAATAAGCTTTATACTCCCTATAGAGTACAGGTGGATCTACAGAGTGAGGGGAGGGGCTTACGGGCCGAAGCCCCCTCAAAATGGTAAAATATAGCCATGTCTTATGAAAAAAATATTAAAAAATGATCCCTAAAAGTATTACTACTTGTGTAATTGTATTTAATAGGACTTCAAGAATCACTAATATACCATTTCATATAGTTTCTTTCCTTTTCTTCCAAAGCAATTATCGTTATATATATACATATATATATAAAATTTTCGGACTAAAGCCCCCAAAAATTAAATCCTGGATCCGTGAGTGCTATAGAGAGTGAATATATGTTTATAGTTGGTGCTATAACAGCCCATTGTTAGTTAATTTTTTAATGGAGCAACTTTTTTGTTTGTTTATTTAAGGAAGGTTTCTTTATGAAGTTTCTTTAGAAAATGAGTTTGAAATTTTGATTCATTCATCTAAAGTTTGCCATTTCTTAGTTTATACCTGTGAAGAATTTTTTTTTTAATTGTATTAAAAAAATTATTGAACCCAAAAATGGGGGGAGAAATACGCCATCAGCATTTCGAAAGTTTTTCCAAGAATAATTAACTATTCTTAAACAAAATCGATAAAATACTAAATTTGCTGACAATGTAAAAGGGGAACAACACTTTAAATATTTTTGTTTACCATAGTTTGTGAAATGTCTAGACCCATCTTAAAATCTTAATTAATCAATTTATGTTACTGCGAGTATTTTGAACATCTAACAAATAAAAAATTATATGAATTTGGAAATACATAAATTACTAAAGGCTGATATCATTGTCCATTTTTTTAGCTTCTGATTCTTCTAATATATTTTAGCATTTTCATTCATTGGTTGACTGTCTAATATTGACATTAGATTTGGAAGGCAGCATATAGATATGAATGTATTGACTATTTGGTAGTCAATCAGCTAATTAGCAGAGGTTCTCCCACCACTTCCTTTCCTTGTAGATAGAATCTTAGCTGACATATTTTGTACTCTCCCTTTCTCTCTCTCTCTCTCTCTCTCTCTCTATATATATATATATATATATATATATATATATATATATATATATATATATATATATCATTCTTTTTTGTTTTTGTCATTGATGAAGGCCAGCAGAGAGCCACAGGTACATCATTATTTCTTTGCTTTTCTTTTAGACCAAACTTTCTTAATTTTTCCACTCATTTCCTTTTTTCGTTCTTCTGTCCATTTTCTTCCTTCCTTTCTTCTCTTTTCAACTCTAAAGACCTTCAACTTATTCACTCTTCCCCTGAATTTATCCCTATCTAAGTATTCATCTTCTTTTATCCCATGTGTTACTATTTCTTCCTTATCATATTCAGTGTATGTGTTGATGTTCTTTAGTCCAATTACTTTGTCAAATATCTGTTTGTTCATCCTATCTTTACTTATTCTCTTCGTTTCACTTCGCTGATCTTCATCAAATGTAAATCACTCACATTGTAGTTCATAAGCTCTTCTAGGTATTCGAACTGTTTTATAGTTTGAATATTCCTGTATTTTATTCTAATTATTTTTTGCTGTTGGGCTGTAGGTCAGTATTCTTATTTTCTCTGTGCTTTTCTCAGCTTTATTTGCTTAATTGTTAAGTTTTTTGTTATTATATTATTTTGATTTGTCGTTTTCTTTTCGTTTCTACATTATTGTCAGATTTATCCATTTTATCATTACATTACATAAAAGTTATTGATTAATTTATAGTAAATCTTGTTTGTGAATTACTGTTTCTTTATCTGTAAGTCTAACACCTTATGGATCAGTTTTCTTGCTGAATTGTTTATATGATGTTTTGAATAAAAATTTATGATGGCATTACTGTTGTTATTGAATGAAATTATCAGTGTGTCTTAACCTAATATTATTATTATGTAGCTCTATTGTTAATTTCAAACTTTTATGCATATCATTCATAACTTAAGTATTTTATATAGCTTTTGTTTTCAGTTATTACTAGAATGCTATGAATGAATTACTAGAATGTTATTACTGCATGTTTTAGAATGCTAGTAACGTTTACCTGAACAGGTAAACCAGATTGTGTGTGCCAACTGTTTTCCTCATCCAAAAATTCATAATTCTGATAAACTGTCTCTTGGTATGTTTGTATTATTTATTATCAATCTGAGTTGTTTTTTGGGGGGAGAGAAGGGAGTTTGTGAAGCTCAATTATTCCCTGGATTCTTGAGTCAGTGTAGATGCTAGCTGCCAGTTTTGTTTTCATAAATTTGTTGATGTATCCTAATTTCTGTTAACTATCAACCAACTTATTTGTTAATTGTTTTATCTAGTTCTGTTTCAGGATCGTTTCTACTTTTTTTCTATATGTTCTTAATCTTTTAAAAATCTCATTTTTTGTTCATAATCCACTTTATTAATAATAAACAGCTTTTTAGTTTTATTATTCAATTTTATCATTTCAATTTTTTTTTCATAAAAACCTCTGCAAGGATTTGGTAAGAATCTTCCTAAGCAACAATAAAGATTGTGCTCCTTTTGTTATCTATTTTGAATTTCTGTTTCATTTGATAATCTTATTTTTAAAATCTAAGATATTAATATCTACTAATAGTTCATTCTCTGCTACCAGTGCACTTATTTACTAATTTACTTATTCATAGTGTTGTTTATCATTGTTTCCTCATATTTTAATAATCTCTTCTCTAAAAATTATGTTTTAGGTAACACTATCTGTGGTAAAATCTCACCCACACCCTCTCCCTATGAACAATTTTTAAATATCTGTTTCAGGAAGTTTAGTAGTTCTTTTGCAACGGGCACCTCTCTAAGAGATAGAGATAACCAAATTTTCTTACACTTACAAAATATTAAAAATTAAGGCAACCATATTTAAAGGTTTTATGTCTCAATTTAAAGATGAGAGTGCATTTAAATATCCACATTCATCGAAGTTTTTGATTTTTTAATCAGTAAAACAAATTTTAATAATTAAAACCTAAAACTGCAACACGCTATTATCATATTAGAGAAATTATTCTGTTTCATTGTTATTCTATGTTGAAATTTCTAATGATTCTATTAAGTAATAAGTGGCTGATAGATGCTGATCCATGCTCTCTCGCCAAGCTGTTCTTAATTCTCATTGAGAGTTACCCATAAGTCAAAGGAGTGAAACATCAACATAATTTCTGTGATGAATTGGAGAGAAGGTAATTTTATTTTTTATTAACAATTTTTCAAATCAGAATAGTGTAAAGGGCCTATTAGAACATAATAATAAATCCTAAAAACTTTGTTTTGATATGTTCATGTACGCATCCTTTTTTTACTTCTTCGTAACAGAAGCTCCTCAATAAAAGACAAATCCATCTGACCAATGGCTGTCTATTGTAAAGAGTAGACCGCAACAAAACGTTTTTACATCTTACTTTAGTTAGTGATAAATGAATTTTATCGTACAATATGTTTATTATGACTGAAAAGTACAATAATTTATCATTCAAGATAATCTTCGAAAGCATCAACGAAAATTCATCCCAAAGAAATGAATAGTTTTTATTTTTCTAATTTTTGAGATTGATAATGAAATAAACTGATTATAATTGAGGTATTGAATACTCAATAGTTGACCTTAGTATAATAATGAGGAAGGAGATGGTGTGGTGTGGCGGCCATAAAAAAACTTAAAATAGTGACTAATATTTTATATAAGGCAACATTTCAACCCAACTATGCAGGTCTTTATTGAGGTATTATTTTAATTACATTTTTTAATTTATTTTTTTATTGCAATCTATAAAATATATCTGTATATTGTTACATTCATCAATTTATATGCTAATATAAATGTTGTACTCATTATAATTCCTTTCGCAAACTGGTGCAGGTAATACAATCTGAAAAATAAAATTTAGTTCAATGACAGTTTAGAAAGTCCAATGATATTTCATTTAACAAAACGTAGAGTTATTACCTCCTTAGTTTTTTCCTATGGTATTCCTCATCTTCTAAATTTTCTTTTAAAAAATATTTCTTCACTCCTTTATGCATTATCATAATAATTTCTCTCCAGTTAAAATCAGAAGGAGGTCTCACTGGATATATTTCGGCTTCTTCCTCTATTATTTTCTCACACAGAGCTTTATATTTTTTATTTTCGAATTTTATGGTTTTCACAGTGAATGCTGCTAATGCTAGTTGAGCTTGGTATATTTTTATAGTTAATTTAATCAATCTGAAATTCATAGCAGACAAAAGTAATTTGAATAAAATTTTATGAGTCTAATAATTTGTGATGTTAATTTATCTGAATTGCTCCTTGTTTAAATGACGATAGCGTTGTAATGGTATGTCATTAAACTAATTTAGTGATGAGCAAGCAAGTCTCTATTATTTTCAAAAAACAGTTTAAAAAAAAAAAGGTATTACTTTTCCCATCTCAATTACCTCTGAAATTTTTTAAACATAATTTAAGTGGAAATTTAAATCTCTTTCTTCTCTACCCATCTGATATCCCCGAGCACCCTACCATCACCCTCTATAGCTTCGCTGACGACACTGCAATTATTTCTTCCCACAAAAATCCTACTATTGCTTCAGTCACCCTTCAAAATCACCTCCAAGACCTAGAAATAGTTCAACAAATGGAAAATCAACATAAAATGGCAGCAAGTCAAGTCATGTTAGCTTCTTCCTAGAATAGACAACAAGCCAGTTCCCTCGAAAACTCATGTGCGATATCTTGGACTATATTTGGACAAAAAACTCACCTGGAACATATAGACCAAATTAAAAAAACAAGAACTGACCAGACGATACAAACTGTCACATATTTTGGAATACAGATCTCATCTCAACTTACAAAACAATTGACTAATCTACAGCACCATACTATGACCTATTTGGACATATGGAGCAGAACTTATTCCTATAAAAAATAAACAGCTCCTTGTAACCTCCCTTGTATTCTCCCACTTCGACTACCGCTGTTTGGTGTATGGAGGGCTATCTACCAGGCTGGAAATGAGACTAAAGAGACTCATGAATTGTTTCGTAAGATACATCACATGTTTCACTCTGGTACACCGAGTTAAAATGGCTTTATCCTACTTCCCGACAACAATTCCTCCTTGGTGTTTTCCTTTTCCAAGTCTTCAGAACCAAAAACCCTCCCTACATCCTGGAACTCCTTACTCTGCACTCCTCTATCCACTCTCTCAATACTAGGTCTCAACCTATAGACTTATATATTCCCTCCCATAAAACTTCCTCCTTCAGCAAATCCTTCGTCATTCGTGCTGCTTCCTTATGGAACTCACTTCCTCCATGCGTCAATCCTCGTCCACAAATTCCTTCAAACAACTCCTGTTCCAACACCTACACCACATTCAAACTTCCCCTAACATGTAAAATTACTTGCATCTATACAATGTTTAATTTCAATCCATTGCACAATTGGAATAACAATTAACAGTAAATTAGTTGGTATTTTTATTATGTCAGACTAAGATATATAAATTTGTAACTCTATTATTATTCTTAGAGGACAGTAGTCCCAGAATAAAATTATTTTTTCATTTAATTTTCATTTTCATTCATTTAACTTTGGCGTTCCCCAAAAAACATCAACTTGAACAAAATACAAATTGAGCATTCCAAAATACTTCGAAAAAACGTAAATGCACCCTGGTATATTTCAAATCACACAGCATACACAGCGACATGAACATTCAGACAGTGAAGACCTATATACATAACAAATCCACCGCATTCCCCTTGTCCTTTCTCTTTCTTCCCTCCCTGTTACCAGGAGAGCCTCAAAGAAGACTAAAACGGCAGTGGCCTCGGTATCTGTTCACAATATGAATAAATTTTCAAGAAACAGCTGACAAAATAAACAACAGCACATATGTTAGATGTGTTCAAATGCAGTTGCTAATATAATGTAAAATAAATAAATGAATAGAAATTATTTAGAGATGGCTATATAGTTGACTTGAAATTATAAGAATGAAAAATGGTCAGGATATGGAGTCAAGAATTTCTTTATTATGTTTGCTAATGGTTTGACCCAAACATGGGTAGCTGTGCGGCCTAAGGTGCTTGCAATAGGTAATCAAAGCTAAGCAAAGCCGAGTGTGGTCAGCACTTGGATGGGTGACTGCCCGATTTGGGTGACTGTCTACCAGGGAAAGCCACATAGCTCGAGATTCCCCCTCTCTCCGGGTATGTGTGGTTCGTCAGCCTACTGGAGGCAACTCACACCAATCGGGCATAGGTGTTCGCGTTCATTCGGAATGCCACTCGAAGTTACTCACCAATCAAGGACTGAGAGAAAGTGGTGAGGGACCAGGGCACGATATCAGGTCCAACTGTTAGGTTATGCTGATGGCATAGATATTGCTGCATGATGTTTTGAAGCTCTTGAAGGGTGTCTTTCTGGAATTGCAAAGAGTTGCAGCTAAGATGCGGTTCCATATTCATGAGTCTAAAACAAAATATATGTAAACAGGTGTAGGAGAGAATCCCCAAAGTATATCTCTGCCCTCGCACCTTTGAGAGTGTCAAACAATTCTTTTATCTGGGATATCCAATTACCAGGAGGAATGAAACACTACTTAAATTGAAGAAGAGAATAGCAACTGCTAACCGATGATGTTTTGGCTGACTTAAACAGATGAGAAGCTCAATAATTACTAGGCAAAGAAAGCTCCAACTTTATAAAATGCTTATCCATCCAGTTCTTACTGATGCTAGTCAAACATGAACATTAAACTAAAATGATGAAAAGATCTTTTGATCTTTGGAAGAAAATCCTTTGAAGAATAAAGAAGTTTATAAATTCTTTTATGAACGTTAAATTGTGGTTATAATAATAAAATTAGGAAGGTTAAGTTAGGCAACACACAAAACTCTGATAGAGAGATCTGAAATTTTGATAAGGGTACTTAAAAAAACATTACTTTATGCAAGGAGAACTTGTAGACCGAAATTGAGATATGCAGATGATGTGCTAGCTTACGAGAGACATTTGCTGGGAGTCAGAAATTAGAAAGTGGCCACACAGAACAGAGAAATATGACAGAGGCTTATTATAAAAAATAATGATAAAAAAATAACATAAAATAAAATAATAAAGAGCATATACTAGTATGGATTTGTACAAGAATATAGGAGGTTTAAGACCTGAGGAGGATTTGTCACTGTGGAGCTGCATCACTGACTCTAAGTCATATAGAACTTACATATTTACAATTTATTCTTCAAAGCCACTCAAAACAACTACAGTTCTACTAAGAGAAAAGAAACTTCTGATGCTCTGCTTTGAGTTCATGGCGACTAACAGAGGATGTCAGATTTTAAGAGTTATATTTTAAGGATGAAGCCGAAACCCCACAATATTAACATATTACAAAAGAAGATGGTTAATTATTTAATGGAAGATATGTTTTGCTCATCTACCAAATAATTAAATTTAAAATAAATTTTAAAAACCCAAATTACTGTAAAACAGAAGTCAATTTTAAAATATAATACTTATACACTAAACAAATAATGTTAAAAAAGATTTATTCTTCACTAAATTACCTTGTTTCTTTATTCATCAGAAATAAAATTAAATCGATAAATATTGCTGGTATGACTTGAAAGATGTAAAAGAGAAAGTGAAAATAAATATCACTTATGGTAAAAAACATGAATGGATACCAAATTTCATTATCATAAGAGCATTCTTTCTCATTCACTTCTACTCCTAGATCATGCATATCATTAAAAGTGATTGGTAGGATATCGCCGTAAGAGCAGTTATAAACTGATAATTCCTTATTCTCTCTGAAAATAATAATTTTAAAATTAGTAAATATTGTTGAATATGGTAATAGTATATTTTAAATAAAAGTTATATGTTTGGATTCAAACTGATAAAGAAATTTTACAATGGTTCTGGTTACTGATAAATTTTATTATGGCCAAAAAGGAGACAGGCAGGGAGGGGCTTTCAGGCTAAAGCCCTCTTCTCGACAAAATTAATTTTGGATATTTTTATTTGTTCGAGTACAACAAACAAATTACATACAAATTTTAATATTTATATCGCTGTAATCTATAAACAAATAATAAAAGGCTTAGCGAACGCGAAGGTTCGATGCCAACACCACCAATCGCTCATTACATATCTCCCTCCACCGTTCGCCCTCCAAACCAAGTCCCTTCAGATCGGCTTTAATGCAATCTTCCCACCTTCGCTTCGGTCTACCCCTCGGACGTTTACCGTTCGGTACAGCAAATATTAACCTTTTAGGAATTCTCTCGTTACTAAGCCCAACAATTTTAAAAGCCCATTTGATTCGCCGGGATGAAATCACTTCAATTATATTACCCGGATACAGTTCACGCAATTCGGCGTTGTGTAACCGTCTAAAGTCTCCGGTTAATTCATCCTTCTAATCTACGTTAATCTACGGAATACTTTAATTTCAAAAACCTTAAGCCGTTGCTCATCCCTTATTGTAAGCGGCCACGTTTCGCAGCCATAAAGAACTGTAGGTAAGACAATGGTTTTATAGATTCTAATTTTTAAGTTCCGGGACAAGAGGCGCGAGCTAAGTAGTTTTGTCACAGAAAAATAACAAGCATTTCCCACCTTTAGTCTAACCCACTAGCGGATCCAGGATTTAATTTTGGGGGGGGCTTCAGCCCGAAAGTTTTTTTTTTTCATATATATATATGACGATAATAATTTTGAAAAAAAAAAAAACTAACTTCCTATATGACATGGTGTTTAAGTCATTCTTGAAGTCCTATTAAATGTAATTACACGAACAATAATACTTTAAGATGTAGTTTTTAATATTTTTTTCCATAAAAAATGGTCATATTTTACCATTTTGGGGGGGGAGCCTTCAGCCCTTCAGTCCGAAAGCCCCCCCCGTAGATCCGCCCGTGCTGTAACCTATACAATTAAATATTAAATAATACCAACGAAAACATTTAGGAAAACCGCATATGTATAGGTATATAATATTGTCGAAGTCTGTATTATATTAAGATCGTGTTACTATGGAAGGCTGTTCTAATCTTCGGACGCGCTCTCATATCTCTCTTGTTCCTTCATTACACCTATTCCCTGTTAGATCTCTTATTTCTCCTTTATTCAATTATCAAATTCTTTCATATTTTACATTTACCTATTTTTTATATCAGAGATCAATGTGAAATAGTTAATTGTTTCAATTAAAAAAAATTAAAGGTACTTTAGAGGAAGCTAATATTGAAAATTAGCCATTTGAGTCCTGTTAGAGAACATCAATGAGAGAAGAACACTTCACACTGACATACCGAATTTGATCAAAATAGTTTCAGCCGTTTTGGAGTAAATCGTAAAAATTTGTTTCATCGATGATATAAAGTGCCACTTCGGGTTAGGTAATTTTGACGAAAATGTTTCTGTAACATCTGAGGCATACATACCACAAATGCGCAATTTCACTTCCATACGACTTTCGTTTTTGAGCTAGACTCGTCACATACACACGGACACACACATAGACCATTTTGCGAAATTTGGTTATTTGGACTCAGGAGACCTCAAAACATGTATTTTCGTTGAAAACTCACATTCGAAAATTTTCACGATCGCAATACTGTCCAATACTATATATTTCATATATTGGCAAGTGAAACTAAGAAAGTTGTTATTTACCTTCACTTGTCTATAGGTATATTAAATATATAGTAAAGGAAAGTATTGCGATCGTGAAAACTTTCTAATCTCAATTTTCTATGGAAATACACGTTTTGAGGTCCCTTGAGTCTAAATAACCAAGTTCTGTAAAATGGTGCATGTGTGTCTGTTAATAGTCTAGCTCAAATACGAAATGTTATACGAAAGTGAAATTGCATATTTAAGGTTTTTATAACCGGAAGTGGCACTTTATATCACCAATTTAACACATTGTTTACGATTTTCTTGAAAACAGCTACAACGATTTTGAATAAATTCCTTATATAAGTGAAAAATTAAGCAGTTTTTAATATAATGTAGGTTTTATTCTCATTGATGTTCTCTAACAGGGCTTAAATGGCTAATTTTCAATATTAGCTTCCTCTAAAGTATCATTAATTTTTTTAAATTTTAAACAATTGACCATTTCACATTGATCTCTGATATAAAAATCTGGTGCGCGCAACACACAACTTTCAACTACCGAACTACTACGATTAGAAATTGTTTTCTGGCAATGCTAGGCTATTATAAATTTTTTCGGAGTGCATTTTAAACGGAGCTAAAGCTTAAAGCTTACAGATAACAAGTCATTAAGACCATTATAATTAGAAAATGTCTATTTAATATATCAACGACAGGCAATAAAAATCTAGTCACTCCATCTGCTTTTATATATCACACAACTTTCTTTGCTTTTATAAACTTCAGAATGTCTAACTCCAATTTCAACATTTTTGAGTAATGTCATTTTAGTGATATTTTTAGTTGAAAAAGTTATCTATGCAGACAGTGAGTAAGTTGATTCCGGAGGTGGTGATTGCAGTGTTGAAATATAGAACTGAGAATTTAGGTACTTATTTCTTATGAAAGATGTTCTTAGGAAAGATACTTTATTAAATATCTGTAGAAAAAAGTTTTTTTTAGTCTCAACAATTAAAAAAGTATATTTTAAATTTATCCAAATTTTCGTCTCTTCAGGGAAAAAAACTAGAGACCATATCTTCCCTCCTAGTTGTCCGATCTTAACGTTTTTTTTTTGTTTTTTTAGGAAATTCCATTAACTTTTTAAAAACCATACAGTACCCCCAAAAAAGTGTATACTTTTTGAGTTATTCGGAATTTAATTTTACCATCCCTCGTAACTTTTTTTCCAGCTTCTTTTCGATGAAGTATGCTATATAGATAAATTTAAAGGGTTTCGAGATAATGACTTTAGCGATGTTTCATTGAAACTGGTACAGTCGTTTAGGCGCTACAGTCTATAGCAAGGCAGGTTTTTCTGCATTTTTTTTTCTCCTTTATTAACTTATCAAATTCTTTCAAAAGTTATATTTAGCATTTTTCGAAACTTTGAAATTATTAACTTTTTAAAATAAACCATATTAAAGGTACTTTAGAGGAAGACGTATATGAACATTGGGCATTTAAGCCCTGTAAAGTGACATCAACGGGGATAAGACCTAATTGATATTAAAGACCACTTAATTATTCAATGATACACCGAGTTTAATTAAAATCGTTAGAGCCGTTTTTGAGAAAATTGTGAAAATGTGTTTCAGCGTTGATATAAAGTGGCACTTCTGGTTAGCCGATTTTAAGAAAAAGTTGCTGTCACATCTAAGGCGTATACCTATCTTAAATATGTAATATCAGTTTCGTAGGACTTTTCGTTTTTGAGCTAGACTGCTAACATACAAACACACAGAACTTCGGGACTTGGTCATTTCGACTCAGGGTACCTCAAAACGTCTATTTCCGTTGAAAACTGAGATTCGAAAATTTTCTCGATCGCAATACTTACCCTTACTATATATTACATATATAGGTCAGTGAAAGTAAAAAATAGTTAAATATAAAATATGAAAGAATTTGATAATTGTTGTAATGGAGAAACCAAAAGATTACGAGCGAGCCCGAGCTCGTCCGAAAATTAGAACCGGCTTCCATAGTAACATGAGCTTAATATAATACCGAATCCGACAATATTAAGTAAATATACATATATTTTCATAAATGCTATCATTGGCATTACTTATTATTTAATTGTATAGATTTCAGCCATATAAATATTAAAATTTGTATATATAAGGGTACTTAAACAAATAAAAATACCCACAATGAAATATAATTAAATATAGCGTCTATAATTTTTACTCTCACTCCTCAAGAGAAAGTTGTGTGATGCGCGCACCACACTAGATTTTTAAAATACGAAAGCAATCCATGAAAATATAATCAAAAAACATAATATTTGTCATTTCGACTCTTGTCAGTCTTTTCCCCACTTTTCCTTTCATTATAATTTGTGACAATAGTATGGTTGCTAGTACCAACTAGTTATTTTAGGATATCGTTCGTTAATATCTCACAAAACTTCATGCTTAGTATTATAATTAACTAAATTTTTTTACCTAATTTAAAAAAAGAAGTAGGGTCTCATTGGGATTTATAAAGGCTGTTTTGTTTTTTCAAAATTTTCGACATGGATACAATATATATTCTTTTTGGATACAGGTAAATTATTTTTACCTTAAAAAGGAAGGAGATGGCCAGGGATTGCGGTCATAAATAGGCTAAATAGTGGTAAAACTATTTTATTGAAAGCCGACGTTTCTACCCGACTTTGCAGGTCTTCTTCAGGGCTCGAACGGACAAGATACAAAAAGATAAAGAATTGTGGCAGTTACATAATATTTAGACAATGTAAATTAATAACAATGACAATTAATTTCTAAACAATGTGAATAAGCTTATTAAAATTATAAACAGTAAGTACAATAAAATATGAACAAAGTAAGCTGAGTAACAAGATCCTAAAATGAAGTAAATAGATGTTAATGTAGTGTAATAATAGGTAAAGATTATAATGTAGTGTGATATATAATAAATGTAAATGTGAATATACATCTACAGATCTACAGGAGAGATTGAAAGAAAAGGGAAAAAGGATATAATATGAAATAATTGACATAAAGGAATGTGGAGAAAGAAAAGAAAGGAAACCAAAAATTAAATAAATAGGTAAATAAAATGGAAGAATGAAATTAGACACTTACAGGTGTGTTCAGCTAGGAGTTTCACTTAGAACTGGAAAACCAGGAGATAAGGGCAGGTATAAAGGAAGCTGACAGAAGTACAATAAAATATGAACAAAGTAAGCTGAGTAACAGGATCCTAAACTGAAGTAAATAGATGCTAACAATTGTTTAGTGTAATATATAATAAATGAAAATGTGAATATACTTCTACAAATCTACATAATTTTGTAGAAGTATATTCACATTTTCATTTATTATATATTACACTAAAACAATTGTTAGCATCTATTTACTTCAGTTTAGGATCTTGTTACTCAGCTTACTTTGTTCATATTTTATTGTACTTACTGTTTATAATTTTAATAAGCTTATTCACATTGTTTATAAATTATATCTAAATATTATGTAACTGCCACAATTCTTTATCTTTTTGTATCTTGTCCGTTCTAGCCCTGAAGAAGACCTGCAAAGTCGGGTCGAAACGTCGGCTTTCAATAAAATAGTTTTGCCACTATTTAGCCTATTTATGACCGCAACCCCAGACCATCTCCTTCCTTTATAATGCATCGGTCAACTATTAAATATTCAATATTTTTACCTTACTATCTAGATTTATACTTTTATGTCAATTTATTTACTGAGATGTTTTCATAATCATTTTTTATTTTATTAAATGGCATTATCTTGCACAACTGATGAACATAATTTAAGAAGAAAGGCAAAAGATAATTTCTGATTTTTTTTTACATTTTATCATGACTTTTAGTTTTCTAAGAAAAAAAAAACTGTAAGCAGATTGTTACTTTCTAGGGGTATAGCCCTTACACACAAAAACATGTCAAGAAATTCAAAAAAAATGGTACCCGGTAGCTTTCTCCCAACCGCCAAGGATGAGAGCATTTATCGCAACATCTACTGGAATATAATCTAGAGAACATTCGTCGTTAACTTTTAAAACTCTCATGACCCCTTTGAAACAACCTGTAGTCACTCCTAAGATACCATTCAGGTTATCTATCCAGCCTGGAGCTGGATCTTTGAAGACCCCCACCACTGTAAAATTAATAATTAAATTATTAAATAATATCTTAATAAGAAAAAGTTGATTATTTTATTTTGCAATAAAACATTTCATAAGAATTATTTTAAAGCATTTCATATATACTAATAAAAATCTATTATTAATATACACAAAAAAGAAAAATAATAAAAAATAGAAACTTAGGAAATAAATAAAATTTAAAAAGAACATAATTTCTTTACTTCCACAAACCATTCAATGATATATATAATAAGGGAAGGTGTCTTGATGGTGACAAATTTCAAATCAAAGTTTTCAATGGAAATACACATTTCGAGATCATCTGAACCCAAATCACCAAGTCTCACAAAATGTGTGTGTGGTATATATATATATACTGTAAGTGGAACTTTGTAAAACCGATTTTACACATGTCTACAATTTTCTCTAAAACAACTAATGATTTTGATTTAACTTGTTATACAACAGTATAATACAATAATTATTAATTTAAGGTAGGTTTAAATTATTGAAATAATTTGACAGTTCTTAAATGCTGCATTTACAAAATGGTTTCCTCTAAAGTACCATTAATATGTTTTTTTTAAAATGACGTTTGCAGTCAACTCTCATTAATATTACAGTGGACTTTTGCTAATCCAAGCTAATTAAAACCATAAGGTTCAAATTAACAAAAAAAATTGGTTTATACTTAAATGATAAATGTTTATTAAAATTCAAGTATTTTTACAATAATCAACCATTGTTAATAAATTAATTTGTTAACTATTTTCTTGTGAAATAAACTGAAGTTTTTGTTTATTTAGAACCAACAAATTACCATAGTAATAACAATACAATTTTGCACTGAAGATTAATTTAATGGAAAGTTTAATTATATCTGCTGATAAATAAATTGAGAAAATAAATATGCTTCTAAATTTTAATATATACATATCTTGAATTTTATTTTTAATAAGAGGTAATTTTAACTAGTTGATGTAAGCCTCAGCACATAAGGCACTGATAAAATAGTTTTATGGAGTGTATGTATATATGTACTTCATACATAAAATCAAATCTTCAATATTTTCTTTTATAGGAGTGGTTCAGGTTATAGAATGGTCCAGATTAGCGATTATCCACTGTAATAAGAAATGGCTAAATATAAACAATAAAATAATTAGGTAATTAATAAAAGGAAAAACAAATTCACACATTGAAAAACATTTTTAGAGTAGTAATAAATATGTATAGTATATCATTGGAAAGCTAAAGATTTTAGAGAAATTTATATCTAACATGAAAAATTGTAGAAGGTAATGGAGAGAGACAAAAAAATTATGAACAATAATCTTTAAAAGCGAATTTTATTTAACTTATAAAACTAATAACTTATAAAATAAAACCAAGAAGTTTTATAAAATTTATTTAAATTTTTATGCTTTAAATAAAACACTTACCGATTGTAGGTCTTGAAATGACTACTGGGAATTTATGAGAATATTCTTCTATTATTTTTTCACTCAAAGATTTTGAGAATGTATAAGTATTTGGATGATCCTGTATAATTCTGTAATTAATAGACAACAAATAATGTAATGTTAATATTTTGATAATAAATCATATTCATTTATATTAATTATGTGAGAAGGAGTTGATGGGGGGTGCAGTCAAATTAATATTAAATTAAACAAGTAAAATTATTTAATTTTTGCCGACGTTTCGACCCACTTTGCAGGTCTTCATCAGGGCGTAGGATGTAGCACTGCGGGAGGCAGTTGAAACATTCGCAGTGTTGTTGGCAGTTGAGTGTTTCAACTGCCTCCCGCAGTGCTACATCCTACAGGCCCTGATGAAGACCTGCAAAGTGGGTCGAAACATCAGCAAAAATTAAATAATTTTACTTGTTTAATTTAATATTAATTTGACCGCACCCCCCGATCAACTCCTTCTCATATTATATCAACGGTTAACCATCTCTACATCATATATTAATTATGTTTTATATTTACTTGTTAGAGATAGTATTGATCACTGATGGATTTTCTGTTTCTATTAGTTTTAGTAATGTCCTCCAATCCTGACATGGTTCATATATCTTTTCTTCATAACAAGTTAGATTCAAATTGTGGTTGCAATACGCTGTTGAAACATGAACAAAAACCTGGGGAAAAAATGTTTTAATATGAATACAAAAATAGTTTAAATTTATTATATGAAATAAAATATTTTACACACTTCAAAATTATTCATTTGGGTAGCTAATTTACACATCTCTAATGTTCCTCTCGTGTTTGAGAGGAAAGCTTTGTGAAGAGGATCATTGAATCGGACTGTAGCTGCTGAATGGAAAATTATATTCACTGTATTTTGCAGCTCCTTTAAAAAATAAAATAAAATAATACAAAGAAATGAATTCACATTTTATATAAGTTTGTTCTGAAAGTATAAATATCTTATACCTTAATAATTTCTTGACTTAGTCCTAAGTTTTTGAGTGACATATCTCCATCTAAAACGGTAACTTTTTGATTCATTATATCAGGTGTTTCATTCAACACTGTCTCAAACAACTGAAAATTTTAATCCATAAATGCATGATACTTAGGTCAAAAATCTATGTCTTATCATTATACTTAGTAATTAGTGGAAACCTTATTTTTTGTGATATATATATATATATATATATCATATCCATAAACTTTTACAAAGACAATAAATCTAATTATATTTTTTATATGTGTTTGGGAAGTTGTTTGTTGCAGCCAGAGACAAGATACAAATAAAACTAAAAACTTTTTCATCTTTTGTGCAGATGGTTCAGCCTAAGCTGCAAGCTTTCATCAAGGCCAAGGAAAAACAAAATACCAAGCAACAAAAAATTAATTAAGAATCATAGTAAAAAGTTGAGATAAAAATATATATGTTATCTGGTAATAATTTTTTTTTTATTTAAGAGTTTCTTCAATATGAAGTTTTCCTCAACCAAGCCCTTTCTTTAGTAAGTCTCCCCATCTATGTGGGTCCATTGTATCCTCCTCCGAAAGTCCCCTACCAGCAATACTCTCCTCCACTCTATCTTTCCATCTAACTGGGGGGGTCTTCCTCTCCTTCTACCCATGCCTCCCAATCCATAATTATCTTTGGTATCCTACCATCGCCTATTCCTCTCACATATCTATACAACCTGAGTCTACTTTCTTCCATTACCTCTAGGATGTTTTACTTTATTTCCGATCTCTCCCTTATAGCGGCATTTCTTACCCTTTCGATCCTTGATATTCTAGCAGCTCTCCTCCAAAAATCCATTTTAATTGAAAGGAATGTTTTTCCCTGTTTCATAATTAGGGGCCATGCCACGTAAAAAAAGGTTGAGAAGTGAATAAAAATATATATTACATAATATAGCAATATTATAAGTTGGGTAAGTGCACCAGTGATGGATATAGCTAAGGAAATTTTTGTCTTATGCCACCCTAATTATTATAATTATAAATTTCTCCATTGGACATTTAGAATCTCTAGTGTCTCCTTTTTCTATTAAGTACCCTAAAATTGAAAAAATATTCAGTTACGCAGGTTTAATCTCCATTTAAAAAAAAAACATCTTTTTGCACTAGTGATGGACTTCAATATTTCTAGTAATGGACAGGGGATCGGTACCAATAATGGACGTACCTCCGAAAAATTCTAAGTTTTTTATTTAACTATAAAGATAAGATAACATACATTTTCGACTTACTCTTAGCAGAACTGTCAGTAGGAAAGTATGAAACACACTGATCTCAAGAGCACTATTGAAACAACAATGATAGGAATTTTAAAATTTTCTTTTGGGAACTTTTTTCATACAGTTGTCAATAGAGGGCATTGTTCTTCAATCTAGAAAACACTATAACCTTTACATCAAGAAGGAAGTTTATTATTTACATTTAAAGTCCAACCTGTCTGTCACTGAGCCCCCTGTCCATAACTGGTGCATTTATCCTAATGTAAGCTTTAATGAAAATTAGTAAAGTAATGAAATAAACAACTATATAATGAAGAAATGAAACAGAATATTAAATAATATCGATATATCAGAGAAATAAGTAGTACATAAAAATAAAGATATGACCATAGTTGTAAGATGATGGCATAATATGTTCTCTAAAAAAGAAATAAACATAAAATGACAAGTATAGAATAATAATGCTAATAAGTCAAAAGTTAGATTGTGATTTTTTTTGAGAATTTTTATACTATTTATTTTTCAAACTGGTTGATACTTTCTTAGAGAATAGCCATATAAATTTTTGCATTAAATCTAGTCTCAGATTTTCATCTTATAAACTCATAGAGTAGAAATAACTTTATGGCAGAAAATAAAATAAATTACTTAGTAACACACTAGACTCAAAGCTGTTTGATTTGAGGCTGGTTATAAGCTTAAATTTACTATATTAAAAATTAATATTGTTTTTTATAATTAACTATACCACATCTTTTGCGATTTCATCCCATCTTTCCTGTGGAGTTTTCCCACGCTTCGGTCTTATGATGAGATAAATTCTTTTCACACCTGGACATGTCCTTAGCAATTTTTCAGTCAAAACTTTTCCGAAGAAACCTGCTCCTCCAGTTATTAGGATGGTCTTATTATTAAAATATTCTTTTATAGTTATCATTTTTTATTGGTCCAAATACTAAAAATATGGAACGATATACCTTTAGTTAAAAATGTAATTACTTATCAACTAATTACAAAAACATGAAGTACTATTACAAATAAAATAAGAAATGTATGTTATAAAAAAAGTAAAATATAATAGCCTGAAGAATATCCAATATAGCTAGGAAAACATGTGACATTATAAAATAATAATGATAAAATATCGATTTTTTTTTCTAGAGAAACTGATATTCATAATTTGATAAAATAAAATTTGGAGTTCTGTAGCTGATAGGATTTTTTTTTTTTTGCTGCAAATATAACTAACTTTTCATTGTTTAGATTTTAAATTTTTCTTGACAGTGTTTTTAGCTTAGAGCAAATCAAAGAATATTAAGATACTTTTATTATTCAATATACAGAGTGTGTATCTCCCCTACCCATAAAAAGATAACTCTTGTAGGTTTTATGGCAAATATAAGGCTAAACAAGAAATTTCTTTTGAACATTGGTCAAGAAATGATTTTTTTTTTTTTTTTTAAATTAAGCTCATTTTGATAACAACAATGAAAACAGTGTACTATAGTTGGAGGTTGTAAGTATGTTAACAATAAAATATTCAAAAGAAAGACTTATTTTTCACCTGTATCTACTAAAACATAACATATAAGACTGGGGAACAAGAGCTCTTGTTTTTAAATGTTTTATTGTTTACATATTAATATAAAATCAATATTTCAAAATATTACCTCATTTATAACTTTAATACATTATTTCAATTGTTGTTACGAAAGTTAAAAAAAAAATGTTAATCAGATTTTTAAATAGTGACAATTTTATATATATAAGCCTTTCACTTGACAGAATGACTAACTCCAATTTCAACAATTTTGAGTAATGTCATTTTAGTGATATTTCTAGTTGAAAAATTTATAACATCTGTACAGACAGAGAGCAAGTTGGTTCCAGGGTAAGTGTATACATCTAGGGTAAGGATTTCTTTATACATATAAAGAAATGTGTACCTTTTTTTTTTTGTTTCCTCTAATATTTTGCCATAAAATAACAGTCAAAATTTCTTTACTGGCTAATTGATGTCTCTGAACCTAAATCACATTTTTTCTACAAATTAAAAAAAAGTAATTTCCAAGGTATCGAAGCCATCTAGCAAGTGCGCCCCCCTCTCCCTCCTCTGGATTTAATTTAGGGTGGCTTCAGCCCTAAATTTTTTTTTTTATATATATGCAACAATAACTACTTTGGAAGAAAATGAAAGAAACTACCTATATGAAATGATGTTTAACTGATTTTTGAAATCCAATTAAAAAAAGAAATGTAATTACAATAATACTTCTAAGATAATTTTTTTTATAATTTTTTTTCATAGAACATGGTTATATTTAGTAGCTGTAATTGCATTATAGTTTATATACTTTTATATTATTAAAAATAAAGAAATTTGTGTCAGTATTTAACTTAGATCAACCATGATGAATAATATGGATGAATGTAAAAAATTCTAATTTGAGAGCTTCAGCATGAAATCTCCCCACCTCTCTCTCCCCTATAGATCCACCAGTATTACACCTGATAAATATAAGCCCGTTTCAAGAAAAAATATTAGCATTATTGTTTCTGTATTTACCATTATATTATTTCAGTAAGTATAAACCAACAACTGGAGGAGAAAAAAAATAAAATAAGCATGAACTTAACTAACATCAATGTCAGGTAAGAAACGGTTAATCAAAATAATTTTATCCCCAACCAGTAACAAATGAAATTCATACAATAAATAATTTCTATTTATAATAATTTTCATATATGAGATTTTTTCTGATAATAGCCAAAATAATCATCCCAAAATGGAATGAATCTGAAAAAAATGGAAAAGAAAATCGATACACGAGTATACCAATGTATTATTGACGCGTATTAATACTTATAAATAGAGACCAGATTTTCATGTCATTGCAAACTTTGTTCACTTAGGTTCACAGAGAGATCTACAGGCAGGACTTTCATAGGGAAGGGCTGCAGCCCCCCTCAAAATGGTAAAATGTAACCATGTTTTATTCTACAAAATATTAAAAAATTATCTTTTAATACATTATTGTTTGTGTAATTACATTTAATAGGACTTCAAGAGTCACTTAAACACCATTTCATATAGGTAGTTAGTATCTTCCTTTTTTGTTTACAAAATGAAAAAAATAGCTTTCAAGCTGAAGCCCCCCAAATTAAATCCTGGATCCGCTAGTGAATAGGTGTAAAAACTTCAAACCCGACAATCTATTTGTTTCACGATCTGTAGAATAACAATCAAATTTCATTTTGCACGTTTTGGCCTATTTGGTCTTAATTGCTGGTTTTTAGTTTTTGTTTAATGATATTGCATATTTTACAATTTAAGTGTTAAATTTCAATTTTAAAAGTATAAAGTAAAATACTTGAAGCTAATTTCCTTTATAACAGGTACATAGGTATGTATGTACATTTATTTTATATTATATTAGGTTTGTAGTTAAGAACAGCAGTGTCTAACCCATGGACGTGGTAAATCCGGAAATATTCACTAAACTTTATCCTCAATTATTTTATTCAAAATAATATTTTCAAATTATCTTGCTGGAATCAAAAGATATTTCTGACTTGTGTTGTTTGATATAGGTACTTGATATATATAGATATAATTACTATCCAAGTACAAACATTTTATTGTATAATTAATAGTGTAATTGGGGGTAACATATTTAATAATTTAGTTTAATGCAAGTGAATATAGTCACTTGCAAAGCCTTGTAGTTCTTTTATTTGTGGTTCCAAAAGTGTATATTTATTTACCAGTTGTCAGTATGTTTATTTACTGCTTGGCTGAATTTTCTTTGACAAAACATTGCTAGGTTAGGCGAAGGACTGTGGATTTTAATAAAAGTTAAGGAGTTTAACTCAAAATCTACTTTTTTAAACATTTAAATTGAAGAATTCTTGAAGGAAGTTATTCGACTGTTCTACATATCATGGGTGATAAATATTCAGGACGCATTCTTTTTAAAAAAAAATTTTTTTATTTATTCCAACGTTTCAACCCAAACATGTGGGTCATCTTCAGGGCATGGTTTGAGCACTGAGGGTGTTCAAGTACTCAGTAGACCTGAAGATGACCCACATGTTTGCGTTGAAACATTGACATAAATAAAAAATTTTTAAAAAAAGACTGCGTCCTGGATATTTATCATCCATGATTTAAATTGACCTATTAATGTAAATTCAAGCCTCAATTAAAAAATTCACCGTTTCAAAAAAAATATGATTAATTTTTTTAAGCTTCCCTTCTTTCATACAGAATTAGGTTAATCTTCATTCATTTTAAATTAGCATTAGATTTTTCTCACATTACTACACATTATGATTAACTCCAATTTATAGGTTATAGCCCTTAACATAAGAATAAACAAGTATAAATATTATAAATTAAGTAAAAACTTTTAATTTTTGCATGTTATGCAAACAATTTCATGCTTTTTGGGGTTTTTCTGCACAATTTTGCACATTTTGAGTTTTATATTACACGTTTTTCGGTTTTTTACTGAACCAAAATCTGGTCACCACTTATAAATATCATTGGCGATTTCACAGGAGTGGAAAAATAAAAGAAAATTTCTCCAACCGAAACAATCATTGAGAAAAAAAATACAGCTAATTAATAGATACCTACTAAACTACTACATATGAATCTATATGAATAAATTATCTTTAATTAAAAAAAAAATTACCTTGTGAGTAATTAGAATGTCTAGATGCATCAATGAAACTAATTAATTACCAAATCTACATCTATATCTAGGGCAATCGATTTTAAATAGTTACATAATTGACTTATTATAATTTCTCTCCTAGCCTAGGAAATATTTCTTTTAAAATCTATGACCATCCTGATGTTTCCCTCTCCCAAAACTATGTCTTGATCTGCCCCTGATAAGAGGCTTAATTTGATTTTTGCTTCCTTTTTTATATGGTATGAATGCAGTGTACATTTTGTTATGTTGTATGAATTAACATATGAACTAATGAACCATTAGTTATCGCTCTCAAACATGATGGATTTCAACACTAAACAATTACAATTATAAATATAAATTCATATCATGTGCTAAAATAATAACAAATATTATTACATACACATAATTTAACTATGTAGAAATATATTTATGTAAAAACTAGAATCTATTTATAAAGAGTAGTAATTTTTTTTGAAGATTTAAATTATTTATTTTACCTGTTCTAACAAATCAATGAGCACGTACTAGATTTACTTTTATGCACAGTACGTTAGTCTAAAATTTGTTTTAAAAAATAGGATTATTTTATTTACCTGTTCAGTCAAAAGGCTAAGGAATGTGCCTTGCCTACCTTCATCCACAATACCTAAGCCTATTCACCTAGTAATGAGAGAAGAATAAATTAACAATAATTATCTACATAATGCTAGTTCATCAATGTTAATTATAATATTAAAATTATACTTTGTCATCCCCACAATAATTATTAGGCCTACTGACCCAGTTTAACAATCTCAATGAAAGTAAATTTTGAGATGTGAGCTAATGTATTCTTCGCAATAAGGGTTTAATAAAATAATTAAATTATTAGAATTTATTCAAGAGAGAATTACATACAATTTATTGTAATGCACAGTATACTAATCTATCTGGTTGATAATATCTAACAATTTAGCTTGATATACCTTGTATAGAAAAATGTCATTTGTTGTTTCCTTTCTTTTCTCGTCCTCATTCTTCTCAATTCTGTCTCCCGGATCCATAAAGCAATACCCAGATTTAATAGAGTTGATGATGCAGGATTGTCAGTGAGTCCAAAATAATGGAATAATGCTCTTAGCCATACCCTGTATCTCATTCCTTTCAACATCTAGGTTTTCCTAAAAACTAGTAGTTGAAAGAGGAATTGCCCCTCTACTTCCAAACCGAAGTCCTTTTACCAAAAAATTTTCTCCCCAAATTTCTCTCTATATTTTTCTTTTAGGTATGGAATGCATTCTTTATGTATTTACTCAACAAGATCTGTATTTTAAGATCTTGTTGTTCATCATTTGTCTCATATCGAATTGTAGGATCAACTATAACAGCCTCTTTTCCTTTTCCGCCAAATGCCAAGATGCCTATGAATCTTGCTGAGGCTTTCATATCTAGAAAATAAACTTCTAGGAAACATCTATAATTTTTTATTTTCAGGAATTTGGATATTCGATACTTTATTATTGTGCCGACGGGTGATGAGGAGCATGTTATTTGGACATTTGCCCAATACATGAGCTGGGGTTTCTGACTCTCAGCCACATTTGCAGCAGAGTACAACATCTCCATTCGTCTGGCCTTCCGTTCCTGGAACTCTTCGAAGAGGAGCATAGTCAACATTTAGTTTCAAAGCATTTGTCCACTCTGAACCTGTAAGAAATTAGTTCAGCACTGTAATGTCTATGTGAAATACTCAAAAAATCTATTAGTCTTGTTTTTAGCCTCTTGTATGGTCTCTTTTAAACTATTGAGGCATCCATTGTTATTTAAAAGCTTCCTTATGGACTGATCTGAGCTACATGCTACGACCATCTAAACCTCCTTGGCTTCATATTGTGAGATATTGATTGTCCAGTTTCTGTAAGCAATTATTTATTGGTCCTTTTCCTCTACAAGTTAGCACTCTAATCCGAGATTGCTCCAAGGATTTTCCTTTTGAATCTTTCAATACCTCTTTCTAGAGTGCTAAAATTATTCCTATTAATGAATATTTAATAGTTGACCGTTACATTATAAAGGAAGGAGATGGTCCGGGGTGGCGGTCATAAATATGCTAAATAGTGGCAAAACTATTTTATTGAAAGCCAACGTTTCGACCCAACTTTGCATGACTTCTTCTGAGCTAGAACGGACAAGATACAAAAAGATAGAGAATTGTGGAAGTTAGATAATATTTAGACAAAATTATAAACAATGTGAATAAGCTTATTAAAATTATAAACAGTAAGTACATTAAAATATAAACAGATTAAGCTAAGTAACAGGATCCTAAACTGAAGTAAATAGATGGTAACAATTTTTGTAGTGTAATATATAATATATGAAAATGTAAATATACTTCTACAGATCTACAGGAGAGATTGAAAGAAAAGGAAAAAGTATATAATTTGAAATAATAGACATAAAGGAATGTGGAGAAAGAAATGAAAACCAAAAAATTAAATAAATAAGTAAATAAAATTAGAGACTTTCAAGTGTGTTCATCTAGGAATTTCACTTAGAACTGGAAAACCAGGATAGGGGCAGTTATTGGGGAATTTGCTATTTTGTTTTGTAATGGGGAAAAAACCTAGAAAATTATAGTATCTAAAATTAGACGACATGGATGGATACAAGGGAAAAAAAATACTATATCTATGAAATATTAAATTATAAATATATGCATATACATATAAAATAGAATTAAGAGATTATAGATAAGAGTACAATGTGAATAAAAACAAATATACAATATACAAACAAAATACCCCCTCAGGTAGTCAATATTTTAAGTTTAGGCTCCAATTTTTCTTCCCCCTCTTCCAAATGCTCCAATCTCATCCATAGCCTAATTACAGATCTATAAGTCATATATAGAGATAACCTTTTAGGAGTTAACGAAGAGGAAAAAGAATTATCCCGTATTAGGATTAGTAACATGATTACTAACCACCTCCAACTGTATTTCTTTAACATATAGACACATTTTAAATCTTATAAGTGAAAAATAACTTATCTTACATCCTATTATTCTAAGTATTTCCGCTTAGTATGATATCTCTTTTATTTTATTTTAATTATTTTATATTTACATTCTACATCAATGTATGATCATCCATTTTCTTTTCTTTCTTTCTATATTTATATTTTACTTCTATGTACATTTTACTTCTTCCATTTTTGTTTTTATTCACATTGTACTCTTATCTATAATCTCTTAATTCTATTTTATATGTATATGTATATATTTATAATTTAATATTTCATAGATATAGTATTTTTTTTCCCCTTGTATCCATCCATGTCATCTAATTTTAGATACTATAATTTTCTAGGTTTTTTCTCCATTACAAATAGCAATGGCATTACAAAACAAAATAGCAAATTCCCCAATAACTGCCCCTATCCTAGTTTTCCAGTTCTAAGTGAAATTCCTAGATGAACACACTTGTAAGTCTCTAATTTTATTTACTTATTTATTTAATTTTTTGGTTTTCATTTCTTTCTCCACATTCCTTTATGTCTATTATTTCAAATTATATACTTTTTCCTTTTCTTTCAATCTCTCCTGTAGATCTGTAGAAGTATATTCACATTTTCATATATTACATATTACACTACAAAAATTGTTACCATCTATTTACTTCAGTTTAGGATCCTGTTACTTAGCTTAATCTGTTTATATTTTAATGTACTTACTGTTTATAATTTTAATAAGCTTATTCACATTGTTTATAATTTTGTCTAAATATTATGTAACTTCCACAATTCTCTATCTTTTTGTATCTTGTCCGTTCTAGCCCTGAAGAAGTCATGTAAAGTCGGGTCGAAACGTTGGCTTTCAATAAAATAGTTTTGCCACTATTTAGCATATTTATGACCGCCACCCCGGAACATCTCCCTCCTCTAAAATTATTCTGTTTTTTATGATCACTTGACATTACAAATTTTATTCTTGTTTTACATAAAAAATGTATAAATTTTATGACTCATAGTAAAGTCGGTATTTATTAATTTTTTTTAAAAACACTTTATTTAAAAATGACTGGAAACAAGAATAGGATATTCTCTCATTTAATTATAAATTTTTTTTTGTTCGATGGGTGGATAGAAGGAAAAAATTGTAATTTTTGTAAATTTGCTGTTCGACTATAAAGTTCATTTAAATTATTATAATTTATCATACACATCAATAAGAAGAAGCCAAAAAAAGTCTTTTGATTCATTAAAATTAAATTATAACTGAAAAATAAATAATTTCAAATGAGAAAAATTTTGTGTAACATTTTAAGGATGAAAAATAGTCAGAATATACAGTTAATAAACATGTTTATTAAGTTTCCCGATGTTTGGGCATCAGGGCAGCAAATTAAGAAACAAAATTACATCAGGAAAATGATGAATATAAAAGTATTTTTATTAGATAAAAAAAAAGTGGAATGTACACACGGGATAAATAATTTTCTTCTCTTATTTACATAATTTATTTCATATATTTTTTCTTATTTTAATGATAAATTTATGCTTCTAATGTTAGATTATTAATCACTCAGTAAATGAAAAAAAAAAAAAAAAATGATAGCCCCAACAGTATAACATAAATTTAACAACTAAGCCTGAAAAATGTAATTTTTATTTTTAAAAAATAAACAAAATAAATGAATGAAATGATAGTCAAAAAGCAGAGCTAACAGGTAATTGAAAAGTAAATTTTAATTGATGTTCCAGCATAAATAATTAATATGTATTGGGAAATGGAAGCAGCATTAAGATATTTAAGAATTTATTTTCTTAATAATAAAATTATTTTCATTCATTCAAAATAAAAATATAGAAATTCTTACGTCCTATTCGATGCAAAAATATATTACCTGAAATAATATTTCATAAAATAATATATTATACTGAAATAATATATTCCCTGAAAAGTAAATTTTCAGTGATGTTCCAGCATAAATAATCCAATATGTATTAGGAAATGGAAGAAGCATTGAGATATGTAATAAAATAAAAATATGGAAATTCTTATTTGCTATTTGATGCAATAATATATTACCTTCCAAGAAAATTAATAAAGATAGGTTATTAACTCAAGGTTATAACTTATGAAAATTAATTTTATTTATTAATTCGTAGGTATTCAGTCATGGCAAACTGAATTTATAAATAAATTATTTAACTATGTTAATCAATGAGTGAGATAGGCATTGACGACAATGATTACAACATAAGAAAAACACAACACAAATTTAATCACAGGAACCATTAGAATGTGTGTCATATCCATACGAGTATTATATGAATAATACAATAAATAACTGAAAGAATATATTAAAAGCAAAGAATTTAAACTGGCACAAGAATAGAGCAATAATAGAATTTTTCATAAAACGCATGACAGAAATAAGGGTAGCCTATTTAAAGGCGTGTCACGGCTGTATCTTCATTCTCAAAACATGAAATCTTTACGATAATTATTTTTAGATAATATGATATAAGTGTTACTTTTTAATAATATTTTTCCCTTTAGTGAATTTTGAGAATGTGCTTACATAATGAAAAAAGTTAATAACTATTATTTATACAATTAAATCTATGTACTATGTTGGTAATTTTGTTACTTATTTCAAATGTGCCCTCTAAAATACTCTTTTGTCCCATTTGTTGTTTTATTTTTTTGAATTAAAAACCTGGTTGCATATAAATTCTGATGCCCAGTTAAATTAGTGATACAGATTCGCAATTAAGAATTATTTTTCATATTGATAATAGTTGACCATAGTATATGAAAAAAGAGATGGTCCAGAGTGGCAGTCACAAAAAAAAAAAAAAAAAAAAGAAAAAACAGAAAGAAAGTTATAAAGTTAAAGACAATAATGAAGAACAGCATAGTTAGGTCGAAACGTCTTAAATAAATAGTTTTCACAATTTTAAAATATTTTTATGACCACCACCCCGGACCATATCCTTTTCTAAATTATTTTTCATGTATTATCTCTGTATATAAAAAATGTTCTTTTATTTTAGGAAGTAAATCAATAGAACTTTTAAAATATCTAAGAAAATATATAAATAAAACTAAACCAGACTGTATTTAATAAGAAATGTGTGTTAAAATATTTATTTATATTTGAAGATTGAAAAAATGTTGATAAGTAGTTATCAATATTATTTTTGTTATAAAATATCTTTGATAAAAATAAATTTATGGCCTTGATAAATAATTAAGTAACCTCAAGGCTACTACACTCAACATTTTACTGTTTCAAACTTTAAAAATAATTTATTATTTTAAATAAAGTACAAAATAAAAACAATTTTTTTTTTGGCCTACCAAATGATCTCTAAATTAAATTTAAATCTCCATTACAAAGATAAGTCAACTAGCTAAGAAAATATGAAATAATGAGAGAATATTAAAATAACTAAACTTTGTAAAGGACTTTAAATTAATTATTATACACAAAATGCCGATGGATAGCATAATCTATGGTATTTTAACATGTTTCTAATTGTTTTGTTTTTAATTTAGAATTTTTCAATATTGGCAAATATTGAAAAATTAAATTAAATTTTTTTTCTTGATAAAAAAATTATTTATTTGAGATTTGTTGCTTGATTGATATGTTTTCAGGAATATTTGTGGTCTTACAAAACTTAATTTATTATAGATTAAATGTGTAAAATATTTATTTTAATTTTTTTCAAGTGTCTAACATACATTTCTCCTGATAAAATATATTTATATTTTATAATTATTATAATGAATACATAAATATATTATATTTATAAATATATCATATTATATATTTTATGAACATACTATATTGACAGCAATAAATTACACTTTTTTTTTTTTAATGAATACAAATTTCTTCTAAGATCAATTGCTTATCAAAGGTTTCAAATAAGCCTCAATATATGTGATGGTAAAAAAAAAGTTAATTGTTGAGCAGGATTCGAACCTAGGACCACAGCGTCAGCTCTGCTTCTTACTAAATAATTACAATTAATTAACGTTATGTATATAAAACGTAAAATTAAATTGCACATTAATTATTGCGAATGTAATGCGGACAAAAAAATGTGGAACGCTTCACGATTTTGCGTGTCATCCTTGCGCAGGGGCCATGCTAATCTTCTCTGTATCGTTCCAATTTTAGTATATGTACCGCCGAAGCGAGTACAACCGATTCCAAAATTTTAGGGTTCTTATGTATAAGGTCTGGAAACTAATAAGACAATATAATTAATAATTCAACATTTAATCGTAATTATTAACTGTGATAAGTAACACTGACAAAAAAAAAGAAATGAGACTAAAAAAAAATTGCAATTTTCTTTGGGTATAGAAGGCGTTCTGTGGATGGAAGTAAAAAGCAATCGGTGTTGAATCTTCAGGTTCATTCGGCCTTTATTATTATCATTATATAAATAACCAAACACAAAACGGTTCAACCCCTTTTACTCCTCTATTATTCAACCGAATTTCTTTCTTCTTTTTTTGTTTGGTAGCTACTGATGAGCTTTAGTGTTATTCAATAAATAAAAATATGGAATAGCATATAAATAAATAGATAAATGGTAGTTTGTTCAAAACAGCTAATCTCCGAAAGTTCTTCACCGATTTCTTTTAAATTTTGACACAACGTTGCAATAATATTTAGAAGTGTTTTTGTATACGTTTCATTATGATCAGGCCTTTGCTTTCGAAATGGCGGCCGAAAAACGTGATTCGCTTTAGACTGTAGTGCCAATACGGCTTCAACGATTTTAATAAAACTTGACCAAAGTCCTCCCCTTGAAGCCTTTATAATTTATGTATATAACATACTTTACCGAAAACAGCCTGCATAAATTTTTATGATGAATTCAGTATTTTATTTGCGAATAACTCAAAAAGTACCCATTTTTTATTGTTAATACCCATATTTATTCCAAAGCTTTCTTGATTTCCTATAAAATAATAAAAAAAATCATCGAAATCGGACTATTTGTTGCAGAGATATGTCATTTTAAACATTTAGTACGTTTTATTTTGCCAAGTGTTTTTTGATAAATCGAAAATTTTACATTTAATGATGCAATCTGGACTATTATTTGAAGATATGATATCATTGAATGTTCTAAGTAAATTATATAGTTTTGCTCATTCTTAACTTGAATACTGGACAAGCATTAGTTAACGAAACATGAATGTATCAAACGAAAAGGAATTAAAAGGAGCAGTGATGAATCATAGTAACATCCACCCGAAATTTCAGGAAAAAAAGTTATAAATGAAAAGAAACTTTATTTGCGAATTACTTAAAAATTGTGCATTTTTTTCTGGATTAGATCCGTTATCATGGGCGGATCTACGATGAGGGGAGGGCTTTGGGACTAAAGTCCCCTCCCCCCAAAAATGGTAAAATATAATCCTGTTTTATGGAAAAAAATTATCTCTTAAAGTATTATTGTTCGTGTAATTACATTTAAAAGGACTTCAGAAATCACTTAAACATCGTTTCATATAGATACTTTGTTTCTTTCTTTTTTTTTCCAAAGTAACTATCGTTATTTTTATGAAAAAAAAGAAAGCTTTGAGGCTGAAGGCCCCCCAAAATCAAATTAAATCCGTTATTATTTGAAAATTTACTAAATTCTCTACATCTTTACTAAAAAAAAAAAATCAATAAAGTTGGATCATTCTTTACAAAAATACAGCCTATTGTAATTTATGTCTTATTGCTTCTAATATTTTGTTCAACGAATTGTTATAATATATTAATTATCATTTTTACGTGTTCGGTTTTTTGAAAACTATAGATAACTCTGACAATTTGTAATATTATTAATCATTTTAAAGCTCTAAAATGTACAGTTTTGCAGTTATTGTTTGAGCCCGACCTTACATCTGCGATAGGAAATCTTGATGCCACTGTTGATTACGATTCATATAAAAAATTCAATTTCCAGCTCTCTATAGTTACAAATCGAGTACACCTCCAGTTGAAAAGAGATGAGCCTAGCATAACTAAGAATGGGATACTCAAGGCTTACACAAGAAGACCTAATGACAAAGCGGGCATCTCCTGAGTGTCTTTCCTGCATGGTAAATATCACAGTGATGCACACCTAGACAAATATATAACAATATCTTTTTTTGTAAATGTTAATGCTTTCTAACTTCAAGTTTACTATTATTTTTTATATTGTGTGATATTGAGATCCTGTAAGAGTTTAAATGACCCGTAAGTGGTTAGAAAGTCCTCATTGTTAGAAAGAAACAGAATATATACTATCTTTTATGACCATAATTTTAAAGATTGTCTAAAAACAACCCCCAATATCTCAGAAAAAAAAAACAAAATTAATTTGGCCATAATTTCTAACGTCAAATGCTTCTATCCAATCCTTCTAGTCAAATGTCGTTCGAACAATAGTCGATGCTCCTTTCTTTGTAACCAACAAAATCCTACATCATGACCTCAACATCAGATTTGTCCTAGACCTTATCCCAGAAAAATTCTCCAAATTTCACTAGAACCTTACCTATCATCCAAATCATCTCGCACAATTCTTCACAATCAAGCACCACCCGTTCCTATAATTCTCCAAGAAGGCAGTGGCTCCGCTACCTTTTGTAGATTGTATATATTGGAGTTCTGGCAATGGGCAGATTCTCCACTCAAGACATGAGTGTATGTGGCTAAACTGCTCTCGATCAATCTCCACTGGCTTTAGTACCAGCGATGCGGTTAAGAGAGTAGCAGAGGATTCTCCTGGAGTCCAGCTTTTCCCTCCATAGTTGGAGGGACAAGTCTGCCTCGGAGATCTCTTGCCTAATTGTAAATAGTTATGTGTTTTTTTGTTTTGCTTTAATTTTCTTATTTTTTTAAGTTATTTTATTTTATTTATTGTATTGACTTTGTGATTATTATTTATAGTTATTTTGCTTCTATTTATTTTATATCTTTTTTACATATAGGGTGAATGTTATCCTACCTTACTATAATTAATGTCCAAGTGACA